TTGAGGAAACGGAGACTGAATGGGGATAACTGCCTGCCTAGAGATACACACTAGTTAGGACTGAATAGACACTGGAAATTTGAACTCCTGAAATCCAGTTTAAATTGCCTCTTTTTACTTTTTACGTGGCACTACCCCTTTCTTTTTCATCTCAGAAGCAGTGCAGTCGTCAACTGGAATTTCCTTTGTACTTTGTTACCCTGACTTAGCAAAATTTTCTTTAACTTATCTGTGGCCTGAGTGAACTCTGAGGTTATGTCTTCTGGGGTAGGAAAGTTGTAACACAGCAAAAATATTTCCCACTGAACTTCTATATTTCTTTTTCAGTGATGAACTACTTTACTAGTACACATTTTGTTCATTCTTCAATGTGGAAAATATTTTTTATTTTCAGAAATCTTTTGGAAATATTCAAGGCCTCAACATACACTACCCATTTTCTACTTTTAAGATACAAGAATATAGCAATTTAGGGGGGAAAGTTACGTGCGTTGTTTATTTACATACCAAAAGCTACATAAATTATTCCAGTACTTGCTCTTTTTAGTACTGCCAATAAATCATTAAAACCATTAACGGCTGATGGGGAGGCTATAACAATTATTTGACCACTATCTAACATGCCCAGCGCTCTATGAATAATCGTTAAATTTATAATTCTCCTGGTACTATTGAGCTGTAGACTGACAGTAGAAAAATCAGTTTTTCCAATTCACAATTACAACACGATTAAAATCCTCATGAATTACGCTGTATGGTAAAACTCCTAATGGATTGCGAACTCTTTGCGATTCAATTCGATTCTTCAAATTCAGAGATTCCTGAGCCAAAAGTAAATTTTAGTTCCCGTTATATATATAGTCTCAGCCTGCCAAAAGAGTTAATGGAACGTAGCCAGGCCAACAGCCTGCCGTTCAGAAGTCGGCAGAGCCAGGCTGCCGCAGCAACCGAAACCCCTACCTGCTGCTCGCTCTGCCAGGCCGCAAGGGCTCAAGAGGGAAAACCTCGCCATCACCTCTGCACCTGTCCCACGCCCCTCCCTGGGCCTCGCCCCTTCCTTTGGCTCCGCCCCTGCGCCTAGGCACGCCCTCACGCCCCCCTCCGTCAGCCAATCGCCGGTGACGTTTGCAGAGGTGGGATTTCTCTCCCCGCCAATGCGGGGGTCCTTGCAATCCGGGTCCCGCCCCTGCCAGGAGCTCGGGCCGGAAGATGGCGGCGGCCGCGGAGTTGACGCTGCTGGAGAAGTCTCTGGGGCTGAGTAAGGGGAATAAATACAGCGCTCAGGGCGACAGGCAGGTGAGAAGCAGAGGCGGCGCGGAGGGGAAGAGGTGGACGGGAGCGGGGCCTGCTGAGTCCTGACAGGAGCGGCAGGCGGAGCGAGGATGCGGCGCCCCGGCTCCCCACGTGTCTGCGCCGCGGGC